TATGCATACATATTCGATCCACGATCCACATCGTTCTCTGTTGGTCCCGCAAAGCTTGAGCGCTGCATCATGAAATCAACACCTTCTCAGTAGTGCCGGACCGGCACTACTGAGGCTTCGAATATCCCTCAGTAGTGCCGGACCGGCACTACTGAGCCACTGTTCTGAATACTGCCGGTGCCCGGTATAGTGCAGCTATTTTCTCGGGACACTACCCGGCACTATAGAGGGCCCAGTACTGTATTGGGTCTTGGACTGACCATAGTCGTCTCGTCAATCGGTTTGCTGTCGTTCTGCAATATCTTTCCGATATTCTAATTGCCAGAACTTGTTCCTCTTAGAGACCGATACGGTCTCTAGAGGTCTCACAGAACGAACGGTAAAAAATATATATTCCGAAGAAAAGTGAATGAATGAAATGAATGAATGATCTCTTTCAGTCCGAAGGCCTGAACCACGAACGCTTTTTGAGCCGAACGCCCGAAACGCGATAAATCACACCATCGACGTAGTGCACTACTTTTGAAGCCCCCCGCAAGTTTCAGCTTGATTGTCGCCTTCTGCGTTGTTGACGGTTTTTTTCCCTGTGACCGGCATCACTGGCAAGCACGAAACACGTGCATGCAGCAGGTGCTACCGACACCAAATTGCTCATATCTCGATCGATTTGTTGTGCCTAAACGTTGCCTATACTCACCCAAATTGAAGCCCCGTCCAATCTACAGCTGAATTGACAAGTCCTTCGACGCTGGAATAGCTGTGTGCCTACCATTTTTTGCTGCCAACGAGAGGTTGGCCCGGGTCACACCGCTGCAACCTTCCGACGAGGAAGTAATGGGTTCACAGCAGAACGACGGTTTCAATTTTTTCTCTCGGGCGCGCAAAATATTGCGGAACAAATACATCACCAATCCATTGTAGTTTATCCTGATCTCGACACGTGTGCCCCGCGATAGATTAGACTGTTCGCCGCGTGTGGATGGAAACATTTTTATGTTGTTGTACATACGCGCGCGCATAGAGGGACAGAAGCAGCGATTTGTGCAGGCGTGCTTGTGTTTCCTCTTCCCGAACAGTCTTGCACTTTGGATACTTTCGAAGACATGGTACACACGCGATCCATCAGTCCAAGGCATGCGGGTTTTCAGAGCTGTTCCTCCTATTTGTACCCCGGTCGCCCCGGTGGTCTAGTTGGTATCCTCGAAACCTTCTAGAGATCAGGTCAGGGGTTCAAATCCCGGCGTAAGCGCGCTTTTCTTGCAAAGTGAGTTTTTCTCTCGCTTCCGCTCCTGGCCTAGTGGATAGCGCTAGTTCGTGTGTACACAGAGGGAAGAGAGTGCTGAACTCTTCTCGCATTAAAAATCGAAGGCAAAGCACCGCAGGAGGGGAGGGTAGAGAGGGCTCTTCTGTGTGACCAAGGGTTGGAGTAAACGGCACCAGTGCTGTGAGCGCTGATTTGAGTTGAAGACAAAGAAAAAACTGTTCCATCGCATTGAACACGCGCAAATATGTTCCGCCGCATTTTGCACGCACACCAACAACTTGACATCTTGATGATTGATGACTCTCTCTTTTCTTCATCGAAACACACCCATCCATGCGTCCATTGTACAATAACTCCGATCTAGACCAGTTCGTGCGTGTGTAAGTTGCCTCCCTCCTCGTACCCTGCCAACGACAGGGTCAAGGAAACTTTTTCGCCGCAAAACGACGGTTTCAAAATAGTCATTTTACGCGCGCATAAAATGTAGTGGATTTCGTTCTCGTCGGAACGACACGTGTGCTCCTCGATAGAGACTACGAGTATTCGCCGGGTTTGGAGGGAAAACTATGTTGTTTTTGAACATAGGCCGCGTTTCGGGGGAAGCATTATTTGTGTTTGTACATTCGCAAGCGCATAGAGGGATGTAAGGAGTGATTTGTGCAGGGCGTGCTTGTGTATCTCTCTTCCCGAAGAGTCCTGCATTCTGGACACACGTGCAAATACATGGAAAACACGCGTTCCCGCGGGTTGTCACAGCTGTTCAGTTGTTCTCCAATTTCGCAACCATCCGATTCGTGTAGTTTTGCACGCAGCACAGAAAATCTTATCCTCGCCTGTCCCCTCTACATCAGGCTGAGCTTCAGGCGTTATTGTCCATCAAAACTATGCTTACCGCTGTTTTCTTGCCCTGACCGTCGTCCTAAGGATGCAACAAGATTTATCACACTACTTTTTGTCCGAATCTTCATCTCTTCACTGCTTTCTATTCCACCTTGATAAGAAAACGAAAATCTTCTAGAGGATTAGCACGGTTGCCCGAGCAACTGCGGTATTTGTCTGTCAGTTTTCAGAACGATCGCCGGGGAGAGTGTGTGTGTGAGGGAGAGAAATAGAAAGAAGAGAGACGGAGGGAGAGGCACTGCCTCGCTCCTGTCTCTACCTTGAAGCGCTCTCTATGCTACCAAGTACGAAAGCTGTGAGTATCGATCATCTAGAGTTATTCACTCAAGCTCTCGACGCCTGACAGAATTAGCCCTCCTCTAAAATCGAGACACAAAAATTCACGGGCCCCGCCAGTCCGCCGCCGGACACCGTTCGGCCTCCTTCTTCCCCGCAAGATTCCGCCGTCATGGGCTCAGTGCGCGCTGTGCACGGCGAGCTGCAAGCACCGCCAAAGACGGAGCCGTTTGCACGTGCATCTGTGCTGCTGTTCTGTCACGATTAAGATTCGCAACGCTGATTGGATGAGACACCGTGTCGTTCCGCTCCGAATTAACAGCTTTCTTTGTGGACTTATATTTCTTGTCGGGGTTTGTTGCGTAGAGCGGTTGATGTTTTGTGTGGTGCGTGTCGTCCGTTCAGCCTGCATGCATCCTGCCAGCCACCGCTGCTGAGTGTACGTATGCAGTGTTTCTTCTACCCACACCAATCCTCACATCTATCTCCGACGCGCAGAGCGATTGATACGAATCTTTGGGTGCTTTTATGCAAGTTTTGTCTACCCATCACAAATCAATGCTGTCAAGATGTGGTGGTGGTGTTCAGATTTTTGCGAGGGAATGAAATATGTTTCTGGCCCGTGCGAATACGTACGAACTAGCAAATACCCTTCTTTCTGCTTACTCTTTGTTCCATCGTCGGTAGTTTTTTGTTAAGAGGGCGTCCAACTCATCATCACATAATTTTTGGTGACATTATTAAGGAGAAATAAATACACGCACCGAGAGACTACCCATTCGAGATATACCCAACTCCATCCACGCCTGCGGCAGATATTCAAATCTTTTTTATTTTTCTCAGTACAATATGACACAACGAATCCATCTCTATCTAAGAAAAGAGTCCAAGACAGGTTAGCAATGAATCCATATCCTCAGTGAAGGCGACCTGTGTTGACAAATCTTTCCAACCAGGAAGAAGCGTCCCACTTGATGTGCATTTGGCGCCTCTCATTAACGTTCGTGTCCATCTGACACGGAGAGCGGTGGAGCAAACGAAGGACGGGGGGGGACGGTAGCCCCCCGCGTCCTGAGCGCTTGTTTGCTCTTAATATTTTCGTGGCCACCTATCTTAGGTCTGTAGGCGATGGTATGTGTTGGGCCAGCGCATCGGTGTGCCCGAAAGCCCTTCGTGACCCTCCCTCGTGCTCTCAAGCGTAACATCTACGACCTCTCCGTAGAATCTCCCTCACGAACATCCGGGGGGGGGTCACACGACATATGTTCCCAGTGACACCGGTTCCCAATAGATAGTGATGTTGCAATGACGTTACACTCCATTACTTGTGTTCCTCTAAGTCTACAAACTTGTAGCACTGGTTTGCTCAAGTCGAAACGGCACAGGTTGCGCCGCCTCTTCGTCTTTTATGTCCAAGAATTGCTGCTGTAGCACGCATCATCCATCCAAACACTAGCAGACACTTGCGCTCTCGCCGTGGCCGTGATCGATGGATGTCTCTCTGCCACCTGTTGAAACTCCGCTGCCTGCAATTGACGTGCATCAACCATCAGGGAGGGGCCCCCCACAAGAGCCATGCCTCTCGAACGATTATGGATCTGAAGCAAACGACGCGTTTCCGAATGCCCTTGCTCTCGACGCTGCCACGGCTCCCACCCGGGGCAATTATGTACGAAAGGCCTCTAGACAAATAATGGGATTGATTCTTGGGAGCAAGAGCAGCCCAAGCCCTGCTGATCGGGCCTCTCTCCCGAGAGAAGATAAACAACATGTCGAGGATGCAACAAGCGGCAAGCAAGATGCCGAGCGCATCGCAGTTATTCCAAGCCGGCCCACTTCACCTCCATCATCAGTCAATCGTTCGAGACCGCAGGAGCGTGTTTCTGTTGCGAGAAAGCTAAGTAAGCTCATGGGGTTCGACAGAGCTCGAACTCCAGGAGCGAAGTCATCTAACGTGCCTGAAGATGCGGCGGCTTCACTTGTCGACTGGAAGCCCCATGAAAAGATATCGAAGATGTTGGGTTATCGACCAAGAGGGTACGGGCAACCGTTCACGAATAGATATACGTTGGGTGAGGTGCTGGGCAAGGGGGGCTTTGGAGTGGTACGAGAAGGTGAGCCTTGTTTTGCACATACGTGGAGGTCGTGGCTTGGACTGGGAACAGATCAGAGAGTTGTATTTGGAGCGAGGCGCCTCGTCGCTTCCGATCGCGAACACCTGGACACACTTTTGGTGGTGGTTTGAGAAGTGCGTGCATTAGGATGAGATCGTGTCGTGCTGTCCTGCATCTCGTCACCCTTGGTTTTGCCCATCTATGGGCCAAACGCTTTAACTCTAGCCATGGACTGCATCTGCGCCAGTACCTTACGAGAGGCTTTTTGCACTGATTGGTTGATTGACGACACATTTAGGCACGCACAAGCCAGATGGGGAGGTACTCGCTGTGAAGGTGGTATCGCGGGATGCAGTCAAAGATATGGACTCCTTGGCACAGGAGGTGGATATTCTTCGACGTCTTGACCACCATCAAGTCGTAAGGTACTTGCAAACGCACTAGCAGACGCACTACTGTAGCACCCTACTTGGTTCTTCCGTACTCGACGGACCGTGGCGATAATAGGTAACCCCAAGGCCCCGCCAGATTGCTCTGGGTTTTTCTTCAACGGCGGATACTGGTCTACTACTGTTGACAAAACGAGACTACGACTAGTCTCTCCGGAGATATTTGCACGTTTCAACAAACTGCGGCTGAACTGCCGCTGGACAAGGTTCTTTAAAACGCTTTTCTCATTACGCTGCCAGCCATTTGGCACGAAGCACAAATCTTCTCTTTGGGAAGTTGTGCGGAGCTGGTTGTGACACTAGCGCCTCGTAGAACCGGGCGTCAAATAACAGCAAGCACCCAGCTCGCTCGCCAGAATCAGCGGTAGAGGGCGGGTAGAGGGCTTGCGAACTTCTGCGTGACTTTCCCGTCGCTAGCATGTCACCGAGAGACAGTCTGAGCGCACAGAATTGCCCGAATGTGCACGCGCTTCGAGGGCCTCAACAAGGGGCTCTCGGTCAAAAGCTACTGGGGCGTTCAGCTGCGAAAATTGTCAAGTTTGAAAAGCGAATTATTCAAGACACTCACATGGACTTCACGAGTCTCATGAGAAAACGTTCAACAAAATGTGGCATGAAGCGGAAGCTTGGAGGAAAAAAATCAAATTTCCAGGCGTGGTGCGGAAACGCAGAGAGAACTCCAACGTGTCGCCTGGCATCATCAAAATAGTTTTTTGCACCGGTCCATTCCTATCGTATTTCGCTATCAAATTTGCTTGCGTCCCGTTTTCCATAGGCTCACTACAGTATATTGCCCATTTGTTTTTGCAGCGGTCCGTTCCTATCGTATTTCGCTACCAAAGTTGCTTGCGTCCCGTTTTCCATTGGCTCACTACAGCAGTATGTTGCCCAAGGTCCACTATATTTGCCAAACGTAGACTGTACCTCTGGGCAAATAGTACAATACTACCTCTTCGTGTTGGGCACCACGGCAGGAGCTGGATCAAAGAGTCATGAGTTCTGTAAAACTCACGTGCGCGCCTAGACAGGGCCTCCACAGGCGAAAATGCTTCGAGAATGGGGGTACATGATTGCCCTTCCTTAGACGCTTTACAAGCACTCAGTGCTAGTTTCGTACGGGCGCAAAACATGGTGTCGTGGCCACAAGCAAGTTGTGTGTCCTTGCTTCTCCAACGACGTTCTTTGCTCCCTGTCGCTCTCTCGGTGCTTGATTCGGGGGTTCTTTGTCCGCGCTTGCCACAGGTTTATTGACTTCTATGAGGAACCTCAGACCTTTTTCCTGGTCCTTGAGAAAATCCCGGGAGGCGAGTTGTTCGATCGGATTGTGGCGGAAGGGAAGTTCACGGAGGAGAGCGCGAGGGCTTACATGCGGTCCCTACTTGAGGCGCTAGCCTATTGCCACTCACAGAAAATCGCGCACCGTGACATCAAGCCGGAGAATATTTTATTGGCCAGCCTCGATGCCAAAGATCGCACCGTTAAAGTGAGTGGAAGGACAGAGCTGGAGTTGATGGAAATTGAATCAAGTCGTGCTACAAGTAGAGGTTGGCGTTTTGGTCGGGCGTTGGAATAAGGAATGTAGCATATACAAGGGCTCCGGACTTCGGGCGCCGCTACGTCTACGTCCTTATGCCAAGGCAGGAAACAGTTGTCGCTCTCAACACGTTGAAGTGATTCGTTCGATGCTTTTGGTGGTGAAAAGCTGAATACGTGCATACCAAGCGGACCGATTTTGGCAATGAATTCCTTTCAGAAAAGGCCTCTGCTACGGAAGGACTCCATGGAAAATTTCCGTAACGCTTCCAAATGATAGAATCAGCCATAGATGAATCTGAGTGAGGCCATTCATTCGCAGAACTGATACTGCAGTTTTCCATTCTTTTTGTATTCATGCACAATTTCTTCCAATGTGTGTCCACAGGGTGTTGCATCTTGTAGTCGTTATATTATGGCACACCGAAAGAGTTCCAGATTCCAGGGAGACTGTATCATCGCCCAAACGACACAGCATGACGAAACATTGCAGTCGTTGATGCCCACAAATGCATAAAAGAATGCGAGCATCAGAAGAAATAACCCTTCCCCGCCATCCCCCCCCGGCCCCCCCGGTGTTTGCCATCGGGATTGGGTTTTCGTCGCCTGGCAGCGACGTTGTAAAACAAGCCGCCCCCCCCTGTGTTTGCCATTGGGATTGGGTTTTCGTCGCTTGGCAACGACGTTGTAAAACAAGCCAATTCACTTCGTGAACTCGGCAACCAGGTTACCGTTTTTTTTTTTTTCCTCCGGTTTTTTTTTTTTGGCGGTAACCATAATGGTGGTCGAGTAGATCATGTTGTGCGG